GGGTTGATTTAACAAGGCGAGTTTAACTGGGACCATCGGGACGCCAAACCTTATTCCACTGAGTTGTGCCATGCTCCGCTCAATGAATTATTTGTGGAGAAGCTTCGCGCACCACCTTCAAAAAAAACAACAAGAGGAAATCACAAGAACCCGACACAGGAATCTCAGAGGAACTCCGAAAGGATCCGAAAGGAAACCCATCTGCCAGCTGGCCTGCTTTCTGAAGACCTCGGCTCAATGCAGATAGCGTAGTGCTGGCCGAGTCCCACACTACGCAGGTGCCGCAAGAGTGCCGCAAGTGCTGAGCATGTTGCACGGCGACTGCACGTATCCTGCAGGACACATGTAGCTGATTGTAACAGAATGCAAGTTTGCTGTCGCGTGTTTGCCCCCGAGGATGATTGTTTGGCCTAAATACTGAGAACAGCACTGATGCTATGTAATATGACATGCATATATATATATACATACATATGGCTTTGAGTCAAAACCCTGGTTTATTGGGCCATGAGGGGCGCACATTTCGTTCAAACCCTCGTGTACCAGTCGTTCAATACCCCTTCATCATCAAATATATTCGGAGATCGGTTTCAGTTGTCAACAGAGTTTCTGAAGCCGTGTGATCGGTCTAAGTAGTCAACTGACAATCACACAGAGACACGCAAACCAGCACCGCCGCAAAGAGGGCTCCACTCTCGAGCAGCCCGTACCTCGTCGATCGCGGGAGATGTAGGTATGCGTGTTTTTGTCGCGTGCGATGTCTGAACTTGCGCAGTACGGATGTTGAGAAGAAGCGCACCCCACACCGGATTGCACACCACCACCTACGGGTACTGCTAGTAGTAGTAGTAGTAGTAGTAGTAGTAGTAGTAGTAGTACTGCTACTACTACTACTACTGCTACTTCTACTGCCTATGACGACTCTACTGCTACTACTACTTCTACTATTTCTACCACCGCCACCACTACAACTATCACTACAACAACAACAACAACTACTACTACTACTGCTACTCGTGGCGGTAGATTGGCGGCTGCCGTTGGTCACCTATGGATGAAGTGCTGGCGTTCCAACACCTATAGAACAGAACGCAGTGCCAGAGGTAAGTTGAATAGCGGGGCTCAGTTAGGCCCACACCAATATTTACAAATGTATGTAGCGGACTCGAATGGAACGTAATGAAATAATATGTATGCTTGTAGTTACTCTATGAAAAGTGCTGTCATGGTATGTTATGTTTTGTTGTGAATGGAGGTACACATCACTATGGGGCACTGCCATGGGATGTGTTTCAATGTAGTGTAATGTGATTTAATGCAATGCAAAGAATGTAACACGTAGGTATGCACGTGTGTATGTACGTATGTGTGTGTACGTATGTTTGTTTGTATGCAATGTATGCAATGTATACATGTACGTGCATATGAGTGCGTGGTATATGCGTATGTGTGTGGCATGGTATGTTATGTTATATTATGTTATGTTATGTTAAGTCATGTGTGTGTCTAAGCATGGGTGTGTTTTGCATGTATGCTGCATGTGGGCATGCATGCATGCTTGTGTACATGTGTGTGTGTGCGCGCGTATGTGTGTGTATGTGGGTAAGGTAATGTAAGTATTGATGTATGTAATGTATGTATGTCCTGGTGCGCATGTATGCAGTGCCATGTAACGTACTGCAATGTAATGCAATGTAATGTTGTGCGTGCGAACATACATACATACATGCATGCATGCATATATACATGATTGCATATCTACATACCTACATACCTACATACGGTGCGTTAAATTTCATTACCTTACATTACAGTACATTACATTGCCTTACATTGCGTTGCATTACATTGCATTAAATTGCATTACATTGCATTACATTACATTTCACAACATACATCCATGCATGCATGCATGCATACATACATACATAAATACATACATACGTACGTACGTACATATATACATACATACATACATTACAATGATACATACTTACATAGATACACACATACATAGATACATGGATACATAGATGCATACATACATACATGCAGACATACAGGCAGACATACATACACACGCACATTACATTGCATTACATTATGTGTGTATGTATGTATGCGTGGTATGTTTTGCAAGCATGCATGTATGCATGTACGCATGTATGCATGCGTGTATGTGCGTATGTCTGACCAGAAACCAACGGGTACAGCCACATTCGTTGGATGGTTCAAATCAGGAACACGAAGAAGGTACGAGAACTCAAAGTTGCAGGTACGTGCAGTTGATCAAACCGCATATCCCCACCTCTGCCCTCGGCGAATACTTGGAAGGGAGGTGGTGCACGCAGATGTGTGTATATATATATATGCATACAAAACATCTTTTGTATGTATATATGTATACGTGTGCTTGTGTGCATTTGTAGACATGGATACTGATATGCATGATGCCCGGGCCCCGTTGTGCCCATAATAACATTGCAGTCAATACACTTAGACAGACTGCGCGCATGAGGTGTCGGTTGTGTGGGCTTGCTAGATGCCCCGGCAAGAGGTGGAGTGAAACAATTCCTGCTGCAACCAACAGGCCGGAGCGCGGCCGTCTTCATACATTGGCGAGACTGGACATCCATGGTGCTGCTGCCGGTGGCGCGGCCTCTCGGCAGCAAATGGCTGAAACGTTGCTCAGCAATGTTTGGACACACCCAACAAAACGCGATGCAGAGGCGAGTTGAGGCACGCCTAAGCATTCACCTCTATTCCGGGAAATTAGCTTTGGTCAGGAGTTTGAGACAACTGCCTCGGAAACATACGTTGGCCGTTTGGTGCAAAAGGACATTGGTGTAAGCCTTTTTCAGGGTGTTTCCTTTCGTACCCAAAGGGGTCCAAAGATAGACCCTCGGTGGTTCGGAACAGCTGCGAGCTGAGGCCGGAGCCGCGCAGCCCTGTGAGCCCGAAGAACTACGCCAACGTCCCCCTGGCGCAAATCGGTACCCCAAATTGCCCTCTCAAAACAGCCCCAGAAAAGACACCGACAATCCGCCGGGCTTTGCCGGAGTCCAGTAATTGCGTTTGTTGCCTTTACACCTGCATTTTGAGGGTTCGCTCCCAGAAACCACGTTCCAGGGGCGGAGCATTGGACGCTGCTTCCTTCACACATGAGCCTCCCTTTTTGTCCGTCCTCGCCATGGAGTGCAGGCCTGCCCGCTTGTTGTGGCCTTCGGACCCGTGGTCAGCATACCGGGATGGCGTCCAAACAAAGCCGGACAGGACAGGAGATCTCATTTTGTCCAATTGAAGAAGCTTGCTTAGGGTGCTCCATTGGCCAACTAGGCGCCTGTAGGCAGAAACTTGCAACGGAAACCGGAATTGCCCCAGCGTTGAGCTTGTGTTATGTTGACCGCCTGTCCAGATAGAGCGCCCTACTCGTGCGAGAGTGACATATCCCTATGTGGCGAGCGTACGAAGCTTTGCGCAGCTCAACGGTGCGTGAGCTCTTTATTGAATAAATAAGCTCAGGTGACATCCCCGACAGCAGGCGGTGCTGCTTTTCGACCCTCGCGGAACCCGGCGAAACTGCCTCAGAACCATCGTGGAACCATGCGGACCTGACCGCAGAGCCACCCCCGGACCACCCCGGAGCCTATCTGGCCTGAGACCCGAAAGCTTTCAGCTGTTGGGGCACCTGTCCTGTCATAGATTCACAAGCATGCTGAAGTTCAAATACCACCAGAATCATGCGCGCTATCAGGGACAAACCTGCATCGTGTCCAACAAGCGTGGGTTGGACAGTACCGAAGTTGAGGTGCCATGCTCACCGAAGGGCTTGAAATCGGCAGAAACAGGTTGGTTTGCGAATGCGCGGACCGCCCCCGACCCGAACTGGATAATTAAGCTCTTCGAGGAGTGCCCTGCCCTGGGCTCCAGACCCAGGAGCCTCAGTGACCTCCATGCAACACCTGCGTTTGCTGACCCTGATATGAATTGCTTTCGAAGATTGTTTGGTGATTTCCGCTTGTGGCCAAGGTTATCGACGCGATCGGCTTCGGTCCCGCACAGGCAGGTGTTTTAGTGGCTCGCCGCCGCAGAGCCAATGATTAAGCAGGGAAGCGCCAGAGGGATGCCCCACAGACAGAAAGTTAACTAGTACTAGGCCGTGCAAAAGTTTGTCAAAGCAAACGTGTGCTTTGTGGAACTCATGTGCCCGGCCCTTCCTGATTTCCCTTGACGGTTATTTTACAAGGCGGCGTTGAAGGGCAGAGCCTTAGGAGATGTTGAAGCACGTGCTCGGTGCTGTTGGTTTGTTGTTTTTTTTCATGCCCGCATGGACAGTTTGTGCAGTTTGGCTAGCCCTGGGTCAGAAAGCCGGCAGACCATACAGTAGAGGTTGCAGTGAGCCAGGGCAGCAAAATTAGAAGATGCTTTTTGTAGGCCCAAGATGGCACAATGCTGAATTGGCCCATGATGAGTGAGCCAACAGGTCAAACAAAACGACCCATTGGGGTTCCTTGTCCATTCGCTTCTGCGGCACTCTGAGTGTCATGCCTGCTTGCTGTATTGTTGCTCGGCCTTTCCAATCAATTGATGTAGTCGGGAGATGCGTGGCTCATGAGTGATTCGTATGAGGGCCATTGGCCCTTCCCTATTTCCGAGAAGGGTTCTGAGAATCCCTGCTAAGAACCTGTTCCACGAAGGTTCTAAACACAATTCCTAGTGGTGTGGGGCTCGTGCTCTTGGCGTTTGTCATGAGAACATGATGGCCGTGGCGGCCGTCATGGCCTGCTTGTGGTTTGACTTGCCTTGATGATAGCTGGCCCACAGTGGCAGTGCATCGGCTTAGGGCCTAGGGCACAGCATTCTGAAGAGAACAAGATGGTAAGTCAGTGAGATGTTGAATTTGCGCGAATGCTGCTCGCATGATACTCGCAGCCTATGCGTTTGCCAGATTCTCACCTGTGCGGTCAGCGGCGCTGTTTGGGCGGCCGACGGCGCTGAACTTCTGATTTTGGGACTTTTGGCTAAATCATTTGAAAGTGGATTGCTAGCTGAAATTTCTGTCGCTGTTTGCGGCATGCTTCCAGGCCATGTCGTTTCCACATGCTGCGGATGAGGGGGTGGACAGTGTTTGCCAATGCGGACGCTTAGTAGCGTGCTGCCCGTCTGATCGTGAGAGTTGAGGCGCATGAAGGCGCAGGGTTTGTCTCAGAACATTCGCGCCCGAGGATCAGTGACTCGGGCCGTGCCTTTGCTGCAGAGAGTGTCACAGGCCAAGGCTTTGGGACGTGGTGGGCCTACTGCTAAGTCTTGCGTTTGGATGATGTTTGCGCGTTGCTACGCTTGGCAAACTTGAGGAATCACTTTTCAACTTGGTAGCTACATGGCTGTGGGCCAAAACCAATGGTACCATTTTGGGGTAGGTGTACCATTTTAGTCTATTTTAGTGGGGATTGGTTGATGTTCACTGGGGGTACGATTTGGATTTTGACCCATGGCCACAGGAAAGTTCCCTCCCTAGTGCCTCGGCTTCAAGCGCTTCAGGTCGCGGAGGAGCAGCTCGGCAGTCGCAAAGTCTGGGGGGTTTGCGGGTTCCTTTGGGGAAGGTGCCTGCGATCGGTTCCTTCTCAGGGGGAAACAGGCAGAATGCCAACCTCAAAGAAGCCAGAAGGACCGCGTGAAACAAGAATCTGCGGGGGAAATGGGCATATCTTGAATGAGTAATGCCGACCTCGGATTACCCTAGAAAAATCGCCATTGGAGCCCCGCCTGTTGATTTGGCATTGCTCAACATTGCCGCATACTGCTGAACACGAGAATGTTGGACCTTGTTTACTGCGCCCCCCCTGTGTTGTTTTCGCACACATTGATCTCCCGCAACGTTTGGCTCAAGGCCCCTTTTGCATAATCACGACCATTCGAGCGTGAGGACAAAAGAGCCATTGCAGGCCGCTTACAGGATTCTCCATCAGACAATCCACCAGGGACAATCCATCCTCCAAGCATCCATTATTGGCATATTGGACTCTCTCCGGAATAGATTCAGGGACCAACAACGACCTCAACTACCACAGGGTTCCAGTTCCCTCCAAGGATAGGCACCTGGGGCGGCAGTGGGCCTCAATTTGTGGTAGCGGAGCGGGTTTTCCGCAGAGATCCAAGGGAAGATGTCATCAGATGGAGAAGGTTTCATGGAAGCCTACACAAGTTCGGCAAAGCCGAGCTACACGGAGGAAACACTTAATTTATCGATGACCGCCAAGCAGCCGCCATCGTACGACGGAAAAGTCAGCTGGCTCAGGTGTGAAGAACTCGTGGACGACTGGGTGACAATCACCACAGTAGAAGCAGCCAAGCGAGGTCCATTGCTTAAGAGCAGACTCACTGGAGATGCTTACATGTACAAGGCCGTCCTCCAAAATGACCTTTTGCAAGATCCTGATGAAGGAGTCAACTATTTCAAGAACACGCTGAAGAAGTACTTTTTGAAAGGTGCGACCAACGTGTATCTGTACAGACTCCTCAGTTTCTTCAACCACAGAAGGCAGAACCAAGAGTTCCTCATTTTTACCTCAAAATTGAGATCCTTCTCATGAGATTGAAGGCAGCATGGATGGACTTGATGCCAATCTTTACGGCACAGTCTCCATCATTCCGACAGTCCGTACAGGACGCAAACGCGAGAACAATTGCTCGACATCAGCAAGCAGCCGGTGCTCGAGCACCGCCTCCAGCCCTGCTAAATGAGGACGATCCTACAGTCCTCAGACAATATATCCAAGGAATGCAGGACAGACAGCGGGACGCATTTCCCTTCGGGGATAATCTCATTGCACAGTTTTTCATTATACAAAGTGAGTTGTCAGATCAACAAAGAGAACGACTCACAAGTGCAATGTCATTGAGGAACATCTCGCTCGAGAATTATTCCTATGAGATGCTGAAGACACACTACCATGAACTCTTCATCACAACGAGGACATCGATCCAAGATCCATCCATCCGACCTCAAGGAGGCAGCCGAAGCAACACATTCTTCATCATCGAACAAGGTGAATACGAAGGAGAAGAAGGCTTCTGGGTTGAGGATGAAGAAGGACTTGAAGGATTCATGTCAAACAACGATGAAGAGACGTTCTGGGTCCTCGAGGAGAACGATGCGTTCATAGCAAGAAAAGTGTCGGGGCGGAACTTCAAGTTCAAGAAAAGAAAAGGAAAAGGAAAATCAGGAAACAAAAGGGCAGTCCCCAACGAGGTGGCTTCAAACCCTTCAGAAAAAGCGGTTCTGGCGGAAAGGCCAATATGGCCAACGAAAACTATGATCCCTACGACCAGGCATATTGGGGAAAAGGCAAAGGAAAGAAGGGAAAGAAAGGAAAATCAAAATTCCAATATCCCTATGATGGAAACAAAGGTTATCCATCCTATGAGAGTGGCAAAGGAAAGAGCGGACAGGAGAAAGGAAAATCCAAGACGTTCGCAGCCACCGCAGAGAAGACGGAGGAGCAGCCCGCCATCCAGCAGACTGCACCATCCATAGAGCCTACCTATGCCGGTTGGACAGACCAAGATTGGGATCAATCATGGACATGGAACGAACATGGCTGGTACTCATCCCATGAGACATCCAGCACAGGACAAGCGTTAATGGCATTCCATGATGCATATGAGTATCCTGGGAAAAAGGCCATCCACGAGAAGCTGATCAATCAGACAGTTTCAGAACACAATCTGTCCGTCACGACAAATCACAGCCTTTTGGCAACAAAGCTGATGGCGCCTGTCATCAACCCTCAGCACAACCCGACCTATGCGATTCTGGACAACGGATGTACCAGATCTATGGGCAGCTGGCATGCAATCCAGCGTTTTACCCAGGCAATCGAACCAATGAAGGACATCATCTCCTACGAGTACATCCCGGCCGAGACCAAGTTCACTTTTGCAAACGGAGAGACCGCCAGGGTAAATTGGACCCTGCATCTTCGATATCACACAACTCCTCCATGCAGTACGAACATCGACATCCTTGAACAAGGAACTGTACCGATCCTTCTCAGCATCAGCCAGATGCGGAACCTCTACATGACCATCGAGCACACACCTCAATGTGACAAGATCACATGCAAGGCCTTTGGCATGAACCGTCAAGCAGTTCCAGTATCCGGTACAGGACATGCACTCGTCGATCTCGCTGGAGTTGCAAGAGTGAAGGCACATGGAGAAATTGCTCACAAGGGCCTCACCAACTATGTCTATGACGATGATAACAGCATCAAATTTCCCTCCGGGGATCTCACCAGGAGCGAAACTGTTTGTGCAGCAAAATCATCCGAGACAAAGGAGGACCTAGCAACTCCAAAGATCATCGGGTCTCAAAAGGAGGACCATTGGATCCTTGACAAGAAGAACAAGCAGCTCATCCGTGTGCACATCACGCCCCGAAAGGCGCTGTTCACACCAAATGGAGCCAAGGAATGTCCAATCAATCCTGATCACATCAGCCGAGAACGTACCACGGAAATCATTGATGCATCCGCGGGCGGAGATCCAGACATCCTGGAAGACAATTGGAGACTTACATCCCAGGCAAATAAACCAATGATTAACCTGTGGATAGGTAAGACCATTTTCACCTTCTCGGACAATTCGCTTAAGGACGAAGAAGCAGGTTCAGGATCGGCAGCAGACAGGATCATCGACAAGAGGGGCCAGTCGACTATTGAGCCAGATCCTTTCGCACCATCCTCAGAAGAACCAACATCGCTTCCGCTTGCCCTAGGCAGAATCCACAAGCGATTGTCGAATCCAGAAGAGTTGAAGAAACTCCACCTGCAGCATCATCACATGACAACAGATCAATTTCGATTTAGAACCCGAGCACTTCATTTGCCGAAATCAACATTCGATCTATTTGACAAGATCCGAAGTGAGTGTGAAGTTTGCCAAGTGGCAAAACATGCACCATCACGAAGCAAGACAAGCGGACTTCGAGCGGACACCTTTGGTGACATGACATTCATTGATCACTGTCAAGTTCCTCTTGGAACTGGAGAACACATCATTGTTTTTGTCATCCTGGATGGAGCAACAACATTGCTCACTGCAGAGGCAGTGACAACTACGCAAGAAGTCGAGAACATCACTGTCCTCAGGAACTATTTTGACCAGTACCACTTGCAGCCCAAATCAGTTGTCGCAGATCAAGCCTTCATGACAGATACATGGGAACATTTCTATCAGTCCCTTGACATCACTCCGATATCTTTGGGACCGAATACACCATGGCCAAATCGAGCTGAAGCAGCAGTTTGACTCCTGAAGGCACAACTCAAGATCATGCTGAGTTCCATCAAGGCAGGTACTGCACCTGCAACACTGAAGAAAGTGACCTACAGGCAACTGGTGAAGGCCGCTGCAACTGTCAGGAATCAGACCGTCACCTACGGGGGAGTAACTCCATTGGAGCTCGCATTCGGAAGACGACCAGCAGATCCAACTCGATGTCGCAACTCCAACTCAGTTGATTGACAGGAATGAAGAAGAGATGACAGCCATCCAAATCAAGCAGCTGTCAAGGCAAGCTTTCCAAGAAGCACGCCAATCCGAGGACATCCGACGAGACCTTGCTCAAAATCTCCGAATGAGTTCAAAGCCTCTTCAGGTGAAGGACAAGGTATTTTTCTGGCAGGAAGACAAATCCAAGATTCGTTCCGATGGAAGCAAGGGAGGAATATGGCTAAAAGGAAAAGTCATTTCCATTGAAGGAGCAATGGTAGGACTTGATCTTGGGACTCGACTCATCAAGGTTAACATGACGAAGCTCAGGAAGGATGAGGCCCCTCCGGGGAAACCCGGAATTGACCTTCTGTTACCTGAAGAGCGAGAATCCTTGCAGAAGGAGCAACCAGGCTCCTCTGTAGATGCCAAGAAAAAGGAATCATCCGCACCAGCTCCTAAGCCAAGATTTTTTAGTGCCATTACGTATCGCGGGAAAAACAACTCCAAAACCTGCAGTACCTCATCCAGCAGAGAACATGTTCGTCGAGGACCTCACATCTATTCCTGAACAAGCACATTGGAACTGTGTACGTAAGGGAAAGATCCACGTTCTCGAGATCTTTGCAGGAAGTGCTAGATTCAGTCAATGCTGTGCACTGTCAGGCCTTAAGGTTGGGACTCCCGTGGACATCCGCACAGGATTCGATGTAATGACATCCAAGGGACGACACATGGTCATGGAGATC